TTTCTGCCTCCCCCAGGTGGTGTGGGAGTGGTGCGGCAGGCAGCTTCAAGTCCGTGTCGACTTCCACCGAGATAGTTAACGGCAAAAAAGTCACCACCAAGAGAATCATTGAGAATGGCCAAGAAAGGGTGGAAGTGGAAGAAGACGGAGAGTTAAAGTCCCTGATAATAAACGGCAAAGAGCAGCTGCTCCACATTGACACCAAGTAACGCCGTCTGTCTGACTCCGAGGCACATTTGAGGAATTGCAGGACCTAATTTTAAGATTGCGCGGGAACTCCACTTTCAGAACACCTGCACCCAAGAATCTATAAACAGTAAATGCCAGCAACTATTCTTTGTTACTGTCGGAACCACACGAATAGACCTCTGTTTGTCTTTAAAACTGTTGTACATATCTGTATGAACTTTGCTCTTTATTAAACTTAATCCCAAGGCAGATGATTATTTTGTAGTGCTTGGAAGAAATGCTCATCACAGCGCTTTAAACGTTTTTTTATTTGGAGCACATATTGGTGAAAGATTTTAGTGTACTAGGTCCACTAGGTGGCATGGTGATTAAGGTGCTGGACTTCCATATGCTCCACCATGGCCCAAGTCTCAGACCTGATGGCTTGAAATTTATGCTGGGTATGTGTGCATGCATGTCCATCATCTCAAGGGGAAAATGGAGAAGGCATTGTAGTGTGGCCAACCCTTTGGGAGAGAGTGATTTATTTCTACCTTCTTTCCACCCCACCCCCTTGAGCCCATACACCCTATGGCAAAATCCTAAAAGAAAAACAAGATTTGAGTGTTTAGTAATACTTCAGGCTAGTGAAAATAAAGATCACTTTTAGTTGCACTTAAGTGCTGGTGTTGTTAAGAAGAGTATAACAAATGATCACGTACCTTGTGGCTTGAAACAGTACACAGTTACTCTCTTAAAGTTTTAGTGATCAGAAGTCTGGAATCCACATCACTGGGCTGTAATCAATGTTAGTAGGTGCATGCTCCTTCTTAGAGTGGATGACAAATTATTGAAGTAAATGCCTCAAGGTTACATGGCTAGTTGATGGCATGTGAGCATTGTACTCAACCCTAACTTCTGAAACTACAACAGATCCTGGAAATGTGAAAAAAGTATTTCCATAAGGCTACACAGACTATCCCATTGCCCATGCATGGGACATATATCAAATTAGGCTTATGGGAACCAGCAGATGGCATAATGGTTACATTGCTGAACTCCCATGTACTTGACTATGCTTCAAGTCCCAGACCCAGCAGCTTATAACTCATGCTGGATGTGTTTACAAGTATTCCTAAAATCCCAAGAGGCGAATGGAGGAGAAGGGATTGTGGTGTGGCCATCCCTGCTGAGGGGTGATTTCTCCCTGGCTTTCTATCTCTCTCTGTGTCTCTGCAAGCTCACATGCCCTATACCAAAAATCTCTCTTAAAAAATTAAGTTGATGGAATGCTAAGTCGGAAAAGTGCTTGCACATCAATGTTTATTGCAGCATTATTCACAATTGCCAAGACATGGAACCAATGTAAATGTCCACAAACTGATGAATGGATTGGAAAAGTGTGGCAGATATACTCTATGGAATACTACTCAGTCATAAAAAATAACGAAAACATGACATTTGATAGAAAGTGGTCAGATATGGAGGATCTATTGCTGAGTGAAGTAAGCCAGGCTATGAAAGAAAGATATTGTATGTATCCACTTAATATATACTGACTATCCACACTCTATGGTAGAGAGCGAAATATTGGAGGACATAAAAGCAGTGAAAATACTTAATGAGAATAAGACAGTGTGGGATGGGGGGGTGAAGAAAAGAGGCTCGAGAAAGATAGCAAGAGGACAAAGAGAGAGGCAGGACATTAGTGGGAAACAGATAACAGCTTATTATCTGTTAATGATGACATATAGTATTCTCAACTGGATTGGTCTGAAGTATTTCATGATGGGTAAAGTATTTTTACAAGCAAAATGAGAAATAATTGTTTAAAAAAATAATTGGAATAATGATTGGGAAAAACAAAAGATACTGAATGATGAAGTGGGGAGATAAATGTCTCTGTATTGACTGACATGCGTGGCATTCCTTTTTGAAAAAGCAATGTAATACACTAAAGTTATATGCAATCCAATGTAATATAAACAAGATTATGATGATAATAAATCATTTTAAAAAATTAAGTTGATGAAAATGAGGTTTCAGGTTTCACCTGAACTATCGAATGGGTGGGGCGCCATACACATATCTGGGAAAAGTACTATGCTATTGGCACAGTTTATACACCAAATGACCTTTTGGAGCATGATTCCCTTGGACTATGCATTGCAGTATCTCGTTCCCCCACCACCCCAGTCTTCAATGAGAACGGTTTGCATAAGATTTGTGCACTATAGCAAAAAACTCAAAAAAAAAAAAAAAAAAGTAAAAAAAGAATCTTTGGAAGGTGATTAGAATTAGATTAGATAAGGTTATCAGGGTGGGGTCCCCATGATTAAATAGGATGGTTTTCTCAGAGAGAGACCAGAGCAGACATGCACTTTCACCACCTCATCATGTGATGTCCTGCACCACCAAAGGACTCCACAGAAAGCTCCCACCAGCAAGAAGACCCCCCCCCGCACCAGGTAGTCCTGTGACCTTTCACCTCCAGAACTATAAACTGAATGAACCTTTACTCTTTATGAACTATTTAGTCTCTAGTATTCAGTTATAGCAACAGAAAAAACAAAACACTCTCTTCAAATAGCCATTTTTTTGAGAGATTTTTGCTATAGGGCACGTGTGCTCACCAGAAAAACAGAGAGAGAGAGATGGAAAGCAAGAAATCACCCCCCAGGGGGGACAGCCACACTGCAATCCCTTCTCCTCCATTCTCCTCTCAGGATCTTGGGCACGCACACACTTGAGCCTGATGTGAGTTTAAGCCACCGGGTCTGGGACTCAAAACTGCAGTCAACTACATGGGAGTCCAACAATGTAGCCATTATGCCAACTGCTGATCCTGAAATAGCCATTTTTAAAGAATTATTTAATTTTACTCATGATTATTTTAATTTGACGAGAGAGAGAGTGAGAAAGCAAGCCACCAGGTCTGGGCCTCGAACCATGGTCGGCCATGTAGGAGTCCAATGCCTTACCCACCACACCACCTGCGAGCACCACAACCATTAAATGATCAATCCATTTTTTTCCCCCTCTCACCTCACTCTTTTGAAACAAACCTTTCCCATCTTGGGAAATATTCACCCAACTCTGCTTACCTTTCTAGAAATGTCTAATTCCACCTTCTCATCTGACTTTTTCAATAAATGCAGATTCCTGTCATTCTAGAAACAATCTCATTACTGAATACACTAACATGTTTTCTACCTTCATCTCACTCAAAAATAAGCTTTTATTAAGGTGGAGTTCTCTAAAGGAGCGCCTTGTTTGTTTTTTTTCCACTTAGATGAGAATATCTATGCAAAGCCGGGGAGTGTGCTGCATTTGAAGTATCTATTTGATAAAATTCAGAGGTTTTCTTTGGGGCTTTATGAAAACAAAATTATTCATCGGGACTGATTATATTCCTTATAGGGGGATAGTAACTGACTTAAAGGAAGCAAAGTCTATGAATTTTTTTAAATGAACATTGAAAACAATTAAAAAATGTTACTGCATAAAATTAAACTGATGCTATAAATAGGCTCCTCCAAAGATGCTCTCCCATAATACCTGGGACACAGAGGAGATAAGAAAGCTGTCAGGGGCTGGCAGGTGGCATGGTGGTTAAGGCACTGGACTCCCACATGGCTGTCCACAGTTCAAGTCCCGGACGTAGCAGTTTGCTTTTTCTCTATCTCTCTCCCTCTTTCTCTCTCTCGCTCTCATCATATTGAAGAATTACAATAACTAAATAAATTTTTTTAAAAGAAAACTATGGAATAAGACAAAAGTAATGAATTCTGGAGAATAGCAATCTATGGATGACAAGTGTTCTCAAAGAAGATGCCAGATGAAACGTCAATGGCTTAATGGAGGAAAACATTCAAGCTTTGCGTAAGATCTGTTTAACTTTAGGCTGACTGTCTGTGGTAGGCCAATAATGGCCCCTCAAAGGTGTCCCCATTCTAATCCCTGGACCCTGCAAATACATTACCTTACAGGGCTGAGGGCTTCACATATGTGGTTAAATTAAGGGTCTTGCGATAGGGAGTGTCTTGGATTACCCAGCTGGGTCCAATGTAATCAAAAGGCTTTTATAAGAAAGAGGAAGATGTCACACTGTAACTGTGAAAATGAAAAAGTACCTTAAAGTTCCAAAAGTAAGAGGGTAAAAAAGCCCTTTTAAAAGGATAAAGGAAACAATAATGTAAAAGAATAAACTATCACAGAATGGAAGAAACAAAATCAAATATTTACATTGCGGGAATGATAGAACTCATGTCAAAAGAAACTATCACACTGGAGATTTCTCCATGTTTTGTTTTTTGTTGTTTTTTTTTTTTTTAATTTTTGGAGAGGTTTTTGCTATAGGGCACATGCGCTTGCCAGAAAGTCAGAGAGAGACAGAGAGACAGAAAGTGAGAAATCACTCCCCGGGGAGATGGCCATGCCACAATCCCTTCTCCTCCATTCTTCTCTCGGGATCTTGGGCACACATGCACACGCACCCGGTGTGAGTTTAAACCACCGGGTCCAGGACTCAAACCACAGTCAACTACATGGGAGTCCAGTGACATAGCCACTATGCCAACTGCTGGTCCCTTAAAAATATTTTTAAACGAACTTTTCACACACAAAAAAATACAAGTTAAATGTAAAGAGATACAGGAGGGCCAGCAAGTGGCATGGTGGTTAAGGCACTGGATCAAGTCCCAGACCTGGTGACTTGAAAATCATGCCAGGCGCATGAGCATGCGTACCTAAAATCCTGGTAGGAGAATGGAGGAGAAGGGATTGCAGTGTGGCCTTTCCTCCTGGGGAGGGGAGGAGGGTGATTTCTCATTTTCCCTCTCTCTGTCTCTCTCTGGCAAGCATACCTACCCTATAGCAAAAAACTAAGAAAAGGAAAAATAGAGAGGAAATACGAAAATGACATACGAGTAGCAATACTGGCATTAAATGAGATGTATTGTAAGAGACATTGGGAAGCAAATGCAGGCATGAGACTGAATTGCGTGCTCCAGTCTAGCAGCTATTTGTAAGGGCAAAAACAGCTATTTAAAAATCCCAATATAATTTGAGTAAAATGCAGTTACATAAGGGAATATTTTAAGACACCTTTTCCAGAATTGGGCAGATTTAGTAGAGTTTGTTTTTTAAATAGAAAATATACTATTTTAGGTGCATCTATAAGGTACTTAACCACATTGATCATATAGTAACCTCAGCTACACATGACTATGAGCATCTGAAGTGTGGCTAGTCCGATCGGGACAAACCATAAGTGGAAAATACACGTTAGA